AATGTTTTAGAGTGTATTTGGAAATTTTGTTTGGCAGTGGCATGCTAAGGCTACTGTAATAAGTGATTCTGGTGTTATTGTTCTTCCCTTCAGAATGCAGTATTGATCATCTCTCATGTATGAGGGTCTGTTTTTTTAATGACTACTTTCATGGTAAAACTTTTACAGAACTCAAGATCTTCATTAGGAGCCCCAGGGGGTCAGGTTTGACCCTTTTTATTAGCATAGTAACTCTCTATCAATTTAAAATATCAATTTAAATTAAATACAATTAAAAAAAACTATGTTTAATAATTTTACAGATTTGCTTTCCCTATATTCCAAAATTGAAATCACATTTGTTTGTCAATTCCATTGACTGGGAATCTACTTGAGCTCCGTTGTAACCATTGCTTGCTTGGACTCTGTTCCTTTCTTGTCCATCCTACCTCTCTGCAGGCCAGTCACTTTCCACTTGTTTTCTCCAGCTCTTTGATGTTCTGGCTTTACTGCATTGTTCTCTTTCCTTCCCTGCTATCTGTCAGGCCATGCCTGCACTGTACTAGGGCTTTCTTTCCTTTTCCGTTGTCTGCTTCTGGGCAGCTATAGTCATTGCCTGTATATAGACCAAGAGGCAGTTGTTCGAACAGAACAAGGGAATACTGCATGGTTTAAAGTCAGGAAAGGTGTATGTCAGGGTTGTATCCTTTTACCATACTTTTTCAATCTGTATGCTGGGCAAATAATCCAAGAATCTGGACTGTATGAAGAACACGGCATCAGGATTGGTGGAAGATACATTAACAACCTGTGATATACAGATGGTTCAACGTTGTTTGCTGAAGGTGAAGAGGACTTGAAGCACTTAACTGGTGAAGATCAAAGACTATAGCCTTCAGTATAGATTACACCTTAAGATAAAGAAAACTAAAATCCTCACAGCTGGACCAATAAGCAACATCATGATAAATGGAGAAAAGATTGAAGTTGTCAAGGGTTTCATTTTACTTGGATCCACACCCAACACCCATGGAAGCAGCAGTCAAGAAATCAAATGACTTATTGCACTGAGCAAATCTGCTGCAAAAGGCTTCGTTAAAGTGTTGAAAAGCAAAATGTCACTTTGACAACTAAGGTGCACCTGACCCAAGCAATGATATTTTCAGTTGCCTCATACGCATGTAAAAGCTGGACTACGAATAAGGAAGACCAAAGAAGAATACACCATGGACGGCTAGAAGAACGAACAGAACTGTCTTGGAAGAAGTACAGACAGAGTGCTCCTTGGAAGTGAGGATGGTGAGACTTTGTCTCACATACTTTGGACTTGTTATCAGCAGGGACCAGTGTCTGGTATCATGCTTGGTAAGGTGGAGGGTCAGCGAAAAAAAGAAAGATCTCAAACAGCAACGATCGTGAGGATGGCTCAGGACCGGCAGTATTTTGTTCTGTTGTACACGGGGTTGCTGTGAGTCGGAACTGGCCTGACCACGTAATAACAACAACAGCATACTTTTTGCATAGTCTCATGTAGTAGTTACGGAGTCTTCTGTTTAAACTCCTAGTCAGCCAGCCCATTTCTTTCATCGAGCCTCCGTCAGCTCCCTTCTGCTTAAAAAATACATGAATGAATGCACACATACATAGAAACGTTTTGCTATTCTAATTGCTTGAGAGTTTTGTGTTAAGGGTGGGATTTCTCCCTAATTTATACTTATCCAGAAAATTCTGGTGTTTTAATGTGGTTCTGGTGGGAATTGCTTGTGCTGTTACCTTCAAGACTTGAGTTTTTTGTCTCTCTATATGGAAGAAATGTTCATTTCCAAATCTTCTCGGTCCTTATTACATAAAGTGTTCTGGTCCGGCAGCACCAGCATCACCCGTTCGTTAGAAATGCAGAATCTCAGGCTTCACCCCAGACTTCAGGAATCTAGACCTGCGTTTTAGCACAATCTCTAGTCGACTGATAACGAACATTGAAGTTTACGCAGCTCTGCTCTAGGTATCATCCAGCTAGTTGGCACATTAATAGCTCCTAGGTGCTTGTGTACTTCCCTGGAATTGTCCTTGAACATGTCACCTATGGGGATCTTACATACATTTTTGTAAGTTACTTGATCGTTATTCATCTTTAAAAAAAAAAGCAAAAAACCAAAACCATTGCCATCGAGTCGATTCTGACTCATAGCGCCATATAGGACAGAGTAGAACTACCCCATAGAGTTTCCAAGGAGCACCTGGTGGATTTGAACTGCCAGCCTTTTGGTGAGCAGCCAAACTCTTAACCACTACACCACCAGGGTTTCCTTATTCGTCTTGGTTCATCAAGAGTTACGTTCTGGGTGGATATCACTACCACGTTGTGAAAGCAACAACACGGACAACCTCAAACAGTAGCTCGTCCCAGCCTTTTAGGTGAGGTGTTGGTGTGTATTAGATCTGTAACTATGACAGACATTTACGTCTGGTTTCTTTGTTCCTTCTCCCAGCATCAGTTTGCATCTGTGATTGAAAACTGTATCTTTCTTGCTTCTTGGGGGGCTTTTAAAGAGCATTGTACGCGCTAAGATGAATCCTTGAGGGGAAAATATTCAAATTTCTGTTTGAGTTTTATCTTAAATGGGGGAAATTATACTTTACTGATTTTTGATATGTGGATTTTTGGTATATTTATGTTATTTATGAATAAATAGATATTAAGGGTCCATATTCAGATCTTTCTTGTGCATGATAAAAGAGTTTGTGGACTCTTCCTCCATGTTGCAATGTGACAATCCCAGATTTTATGAGTGGACTGGGAAATAAACTTGTACCACATTCTGTACTATGCCCGCAATGTGTGGGTGCACAAAATGTTGGATAAGGGATAATATTTTCTATTATTTTTATATGATTGATAGTAAAATAATTGTGTTCTCTGAGCACCCATTACTGGGAGCTTAGCGGTGCGGGTCCCTAAGGCAGTCTGAAGACAGGGAAAAGCTAGACTAGCATTCTGGACTGTGCTGTGTGTAGCCTGTCTGGTTCATCAGTGGTGCACAATCTCCATGAGACCCTAAAACTTAGATTTATTTGTATTCTGGTGCTTTAAGTAGTATAAAAAAATTCAGTGTTTTAGTTTTGAAGTTAAAAAGTTCCTTTTGTTATAGCACAAGAATGAAGAGACCTGGGAACATAACAAAATTAATCTCTCAGTATTCTTCAGCGTTCGGTTGACATGTGAACGAAGTTGGCTGGCCTGTGTGCACATCGGGGCATTTCTCTGGAGTGATACATTGTTTCATTTCTCTGGAGTGATACATTGTTTCATGATAGATGCGCTTTCAGCAAGCGGTTTACAGATTTCAGTGCCTTGTTTTGACTACCTAAGCATGGCGGTAGGAGGGGTGGCAGAGAAATGTTCACGTGTGTGAGAGAGTGGTGTGTCCGTTAGCACTTGAAGAGTCTGTTTTAAGCAACAGAAGTAAACTCGGTGGAGCGATGTTAGCCGGGAGCCACCCTGTTCTTTGTACAGCTGCTGCCACATGTGGCTATGACAGCCGGGACTGAGCTTGTGGTTACCAGAGGACACCCTTGTGGTCATAACCAAGTTGTAAATGTCACACAGATTCTTTTTGAACGTCTATCACATGTGTATCAGTGATTCTAAAGGAGATAAAGATGAAACAAAGATTCATTCGGGAGTCAGCACTCCCAGAAGGTTAGTTTTAAAATGGGACAGCTGAAGGAGTTGTGACGTGCATCCGTAAGCAGTTGTAATGATTTGACAGTTATGTAGCCCTCAGTGCTTAGCCCTTTGGTTGAACTGACAGCACCCTGCAAAGCTAGCGAGGCCTGTTTCAGCCCCATTAATGTCTTCCTGGATGTTAGCCTGCAGTCTGGGTCGTGACAGATGCTTAGTGATTGTTGATGGTTTTGTAGTCCCAGGGGATTCTGGGTGGTTTCTGTGAACCCAAGCGGTTTCCTCCCTTGTTTGGGCCCCTTGCTGTAAATTGTTCTGGTCTTTTCTAAGACGGTTTTAAATCAACAGAGGGGTGGGTATCACCTGCAGTTTTAATTAGCTAGAGTCTAAAGCTTTGTTTAGAAAGTGTGATGTTGGAGGTGGTGCTGTACTTAGATAGGTTTAAAAGTCTGAGAAGCAGAATAGTTCTTAATCCACAGGTCTTTGGTTATCTGGGTAACACTTACTTTATTTGCAAACTTCGTTTTATTTGTAAAAGCAAAGGAGTAAAAAAAAAAAACCTTTGCTTAAACACACACACACATTTTAAGCTATAAAGAGAGAAATTTAATAACAGCTATTGTGAAATGATAGAGTCAGCTTTGTTTCCAGGGTGTTTGCAGTTTCATTTTTCAGACCCTCAAGATTTAAGTCAGCTATTTTGAAAAAGTGCTTTCTGTTTTACACAGCTCAGTTTCTGTAGGAGTCTGTCTTGTCATGGTGGCATGAAAAGGCATACAGACAGAGTGTTTTGTTAAATATTTGTTTGGTGCCATTTAGTATACCGATTGTGGATGATTTTTAGAATTTTAAGCGTAATCCTTTACTTGTGGAAGCTGCATGGGGGCAGAAGAAGAACAGGAAGATGGCGCTAAGCATTTTCCTAGTTTATTACAACTCTAAATATATTTTCTTAGTTCATCCTTTTTTATTTTTAAAGTGTAGAACTGTCGTTTGGATGTAGAGAGGTCTTGGAGTTAACGCTGGTAATAGTTCCTAGAATTTTTGTAGTCCCCCTTGTCTCAGGGGCACTGATGCTTTGAAGCCATTGGTGCCCAGGATTAGTGTTCTTTTCAGAAACCTGCTTTTCTTTAAGATCAGTAAAGAAGAGTCTTTTGACTTTAAAACCTTAAAAGGAATAAAAGGGTCACTTTTGCCTTTTTGTTTTTCGAATAATGAACATGGAACTTGGTTAGGAATGGCCATTTGTAAGTCTGTATGTTAATTAGATGAGTGTCATTAAGCTCAATTAGCAGGACTGCCGAATAATCTCTCTAATACTCTGGTCTTTTTCCCCTAGGGTTTTACAGACAGCCCTCATTACAGTGATCACTTGAATGACAGTCGATTAGGAGCCCATGAAGGCTTGTCCCCAACACCTTTCATGAACTCCAATCTGATGGGTAAGTAGGTAATTCTCTGCAAGTAGTCTTCTCAAAGCCTCGTGGATCAGAGATGTTTTTCACCCCCTTGTCCAGGAAGGACACATCAAGAATCTGGAAGAAAGTTCCCGAGTTTCTAGTGACATCTGAGACTTTCTTTGTTCAACTCACCTCGAAGGCCCAACATCCAGAAATGTGCGTTCTCGTCTTTGCTATCAGAAAAGAAACAGGGGTTTTAACTGCTAGTTTTGGTAACAGTCTCCTTGGAAATAGTATGGGGCAGTTCTACTCTGTCCTGTAGGGTCGCGATGAATTGGAATTGACTCGGTGGCAGCGAGTTTGGATATTTTGGTTTTTTGGTTTTTGGGACCCCGAGCGTTACATGTTTTCAGCTTTCTGGGGAAAGGAAGCGTTGTTTCAGGGACAGTAGTGATCGACCGTTTGACCAGATAGATGTATGTGTGTGGCACTTAAAAATAGAGCAGTGCTTTTGGGCGTATTTTACTCACACTGGACAATATTTCTTTTAGCACTATTTTATTAATACTTAAATAGTACATTTAAATGTTGTCGTGTTTGTTTGAAGCCTTTGGATTTGTATTAGGGATTTTAAAAGTTCTCTTCTGCCAAAGTGAAGTTGTGTTTTGAAGCCTGTGACCTATCACCAACACCTAATTTTTATATTTTGGTACAACCTCTAAGGTTATCCATTCTCTGTATCTCCCCTGCAGCCTGCAAAACACACACACACACACACACACACACACACACACACACACACGAGAGGGCACACAAGGGCACACGTGTACACACGAGGACACGCACACACACGGCACACGTGTACACGCACACGAGGGCACATGTGTACATGCACGCACACGAGGGCACACGTGTACACACGAGGACACGCACGCACACAGGGCGCAGTGTACACATGACACGCACGCACACAGAGGGCACATGTACACGTGTACATGCACGCACACAGAGGGCGCACTGTACACACGACATGCACACACACAGAGGGCACGTGTACACACGAGGACACACACACATGGCACACGTGTACATGCACACGAGGGCACACGTGTACACACGAGGACACGCACGCACACAGAGCGCAGTGTACACACGACACGCACGCACACAGAGGGCACATGTACACACGTGTACATGCACGCACACAGGGCGCAGTGTACACACGACACGCACACACACAGAGGGCACGTGTACACACGAGGACACACACACAGGGCGCAGTGTACACACGAGGACACGCACACACACAGAGGGCACACGTACACACGTGTACATGCACGCACACAGAGGGTGCAGTGTACACATGACACGCACATGGAGGGTACACGTGTACACACGAGGACACGCACACACACGGCACACGTACACACGAGGACATGCACGCACACAGAGGGCGCAGTGTACACGCGAGGACACGCACACACACAGAGGGCACACGTACACACGACACGCACACACACGGTGCAGTGTACACACGACACGCACGCACACAGGGCACACGTACACACGAGGACACGCACGCACACAGAGGGCGCAGTGTACACATGAGGACACGCACGCACACAGAGGGCGCAGTGTACACATGAGGACACGCACGCACACAGGGCACACGTGTACACACGACACGCGCACACACAGAGGGCGCAGTGTACACATGAGGACAC